GGATTGTGCCCTGCGATCTTTATATTATAACACTGGAAGGAAAAAGGCTCACCTCCAATAATGCAATATATTGACAGCCTTTCTGCATTTGAACAAGTGGAGTAGGGACGCCACCTTCATAGGGATACTCTTTAGTCTGTTTTGTTGAAACTGATGTATGATTACTAGTAAGTTATATTTCCATATGCCCACTCTCCATATGTATCCATTCATAGTATGAATACATACAACGTTGTGAAAGTCTGTGCTTCTTTTCTTGTGTGGGGGCTTGAAATGGCAATGAAAAAAGAATGAACTAATGCATTCCCTCCCACTGGTAACGACAGGAGGGAGTCAATGCATCCCGGCTCCAAGGCTGCTGAGGGTCCGCGATGGCCTGGGGGAGGGGGAGGGGCACATGTTGAGGGACGGGGCGTCCCACCTGACAGGCCAAATGGCCGCGCTCCTGGGAGAGGCCAGACGATGCCTGGCGATCTCTCTCTCGGTCTGCCTCTGCACTGCAGATGTATATGGATGTGTATATATGCAGTATATACACACACATACACGCGCACCTATAGCCTTACAAGAAAAATCTCTTTACTCACAGCCCTGTAAAGCTAATGGCTATGCAAGAACAAAGCACCCCAAAATATTTCACCTGACAGGGAACAATATAAGGTTGCTGGGCAGTCAATTCCCCCCCCCCCTCCCAGCTATTTATGAGGACTGCAGCCGAGTTTGGAAGGAGGAGCAAATGCTGAGCGGGGTGGGGGGGCAGCTGATGTCAGTGCCCCTGCTGCTGAGGACGCCTAGGCGTTTTGGCCAGCAAACCCTGACTCCACTGACCCAGGAGGGGAGCTCTCCCAGCATATCCATTAGCTCATCTCAGGCAAGCTTCCTTTTCCCCTGATTCATTTATTGATTTGTAGTACAAGGAAATCCCCAGGTGATTTACCTATATCTATGCCAATTACATGTAAAATATTAATATTAATATCACATTTGTAGTACAATTTAAAAACCATTCCAAATCCGATGATGATGATGATGATGATGATGATGATGATACACATATCCATACAGGAGCAGTCAAATGGAGCAGCATGATTAATTTAATTACAAGCCAAGGAAACCCGGGGTGAACAAGAACCTTTCAGGAGGCATTTGAAAGATGTTCTGCCTTCTGAACTGTAAGGAGAGTTTCTGAGAGGGTGGGTGCCGCTACTGAGAAGCCCTGCCTTTGAGGTATTATCCAGGGATATTCCACTTATTTTGGAATGATCAGCAAAGCTCCCTCTGATGATCTTAAAGCTTTGTTGGTTATATAAGGGAAGGTGGTCTTCTAGATGTCCTGGTCCCAAGTTGTTTAGGGATTCATATGGCAATATCCTGACCAGAGGGGTTCTGGAGGATTCCCTAGAGGCTGCGTAGGGGCATTTAGGGGTCTTCTCTGCCCCTCCAAGGTTGGACCTTTCTCTCTGCCTCTGAGCCCTCCCAGGGACCATAGGATTGTAGCTAGGATGTCAATATCTCAACCCACCCACCTCCTGCCAGCCATCAAGCTCTCTGAAAAAGTAGGGCAACTGCCCAGTAAAAGACTTGTCTGCAAGCAGCCCCAGTGTGGCCTCCATTATAGTGTGGCCTAAGTCTGGCCAGTACAAGGCAACTTAATGCATTCTTGTGGGGGGTAGAGAGGACTGCCCCTATGAATAGGCCTCCCTAAACCGCCCCCTCTTTCTGTTTTCCAGGCAGTGGGCAGATCCAGCTGTGGCAATTTCTGCTGGAACTGCTTTCGGACCGAGCCAACCTCAACTGCATTGCCTGGGAGGGCACCAACGGCGAGTTCAAGCTCCTGGACCCTGACGAGGTGGCGCGGCGCTGGGGTGAGCGCAAGAGCAAGCCCAACATGAACTATGACAAGCTGAGCCGGGCGCTGCGCTATTACTATGACAAGAACATCATGACCAAAGTGCACGGCAAGCGCTATGCCTACAAGTTTGACTTCCAGGGCCTGGCTCAGGTCTGCCAGCCAGCCACACCTGACCATGCCCTCTACAAATTCCAGGCCCCACTGCCTTTCGCCGGCATCTCCAAACTCAACATTATGGCTTCAGGCGTGACCCCAACCAGCTTCTCTTACTGGCCGGGCTCTACCCCCACCCTGTACCCCAGCCATGGCCTGCAGCCTTCCGCACCCTTTGGCGCCATGGCAACCTCCCACATCAACAACATGAACAGCCACTACCACTAGGCCTCCATGGCTGCCGGTGGATGGGAGGTGGGGGTTGGTCCTCAGATTTCCCCTTAAGGCATTTCCAATGTAAGCAAGACAATTCGGGAGGGACGGTTCATTGGTTCAGGGCTGGATCTCAGCAAAGGGGCTGCAGGCATTTTCTGGGCCATGGTCCTGCCCTACTGAATACAGAGCCTGTATTCTATAGAAAACCATGCCTTTCCCCATTTAAGGAAAAAAATATCTCACCTAATATATTGGAAAAACGGTGGGATTTTCTCATATTTGCTACCCTGAGAACTCTAGTCATGCATAAGAACTAAGAGCAGCAAGACAAGACAGCCACACAGTCCCCTTCCACACTTATGCACAGTCCCCAAACACTTTCCCCCCAGTCCTGCTCAATCCCAGGGGTTTCTTTGGAGCTGGCTGCTTTTTTGGTATCACTTTCACCCCATGGCTGCAGCACCCAGTGCAGTGCAGTTCATTAATTTTCGACTCTGGACTTAACTGTCTCGCAACTGAGAAAAACACCCCTCCTTATAAGGTGGCCATGTGGATCACCCTACTTTGAAATGGGGCAGACCAGTCTTGCTGGGGTTGGCAACCCTCCTGCTCATTCTGCTGAGCAGGGCCTGCGGCATTGGCCCCAAAGTCTTGTCCTGATTGTACCACTGACATCACCTTTTCTGGATTAGGTAATCAGGGCTGGCCCTAATATTAGGCAGAGTGAACTGGCCACTTTAGGCAGCAAATTATTAGTGATTAATTTATTGTTATTGTGTATCCACTGCCAGAGAAGAGGAGAGGAGCTTGTGGGAAATCTTGCCCCAGGGGCCAATTAACTTGGCTAGTTAACTTGTGTGGAGGGGTGGTGATTGCTGCCCTATAGCCCACCCTCTCATGGACCATGTGAGGACAGGGACCACCTTCCAGAGCTACATGCAGAGTTAGCTGTGTGATGATGTCAGTTGAGGGCAACTGCGGGCAATTTGTATGAACAAGCAAACCATTTTCACAAGGAGTGCTAAAATAAATGTCTGAAAAGAGAGTCTTTTTATTCTATTTTTATCACTGCCAAAAATGCGAACAAAGCCTGCCAGCAGGCTCAGCCCAGCCCTCCTGTTACTCATTTCTGCAGGTAAAATAAAACCAATAGAAATGAATATAAGGAGGAGGAGGAAGGACAGAGAAATCCAGCCAGGGCTGGGGAGGGGAGATCACAGCTGAGGAATCACCGCTTTTGATGCCCTGCTGGGCTCACACAGGTGTGCAGAAGGGGAGATATTTCTTTGCCCTTTTTCTTATCCTCCCAGTCTTTCCCTCCTCCTCTCACTTTCCCTCTGTCTTAACTTTCCCTTTCTCCCGGGGCTGGGACACTTTCACTCATTCCATTCCAGGGCCACACTTGGGAAAAGTCTGGCTTTGGATCTAGTGGATTCAAAGGCTGCCCCAATCCACTTCTAACACACGCACACACAGAGAGAGAACCGTTATTTTCTGCTTTTTCCAATACTTGCCCCCTCCACCTTTCCCAAACCACTGCAGGAAGAGGGGCGAGCAGACCTCCTCTTCCGCCCGCTGAGAGGGTGATCCACTAGATCTGATGCATCTTGTGACAACCTCCCAGGGACCGCACATTGTGTTCTTTGAAAGATGCAACAGGACATTTTTTCCCTTCTACTTCTACCAGTACAAGCAAACCTCCACCTTTTATAAGCTTGCAGGTGCTTGTTTTCACACAAGGTCCCTGATCTCAGAAAATAGTCCAGCCATCAACTACTCTTCTCAGAGGCATTCAAAATGAGAAGCAGAGCCAATCTGTCAGATCTGTTGGCTGCTTATTTTTGCTGTCCTCCAACCTTAAAGTTGAGCAGACACAGGATTCCATGGGGAGAGCCTCACATTTTCAAAATGTAACATTTCATTTAGAAATAGTATGATGACTCAAAGGGGGAGGAAAGGTAATGGGAACTAAATATTCAATTATATCTATGTTCAATGTAATTGCAATATATCAAGTTCCTTTGCTTGAAGCAGACACGCACTGTGACAAACAGTTTTCTTTCACATATCTAGTTTGATGTGGCTTTTGTTCAAATGTAGCAGAAAGTAAAACTTGCAGTAGGTAAAATGTCCATTTGCATTACAGATGCTTTTCTTCTGCTTTCTCTTCTACATGAAGTTAGATGAGAGTCTCAAAGCTGATGGGTGCCTTAAGCTTCAATGTGTCTGTAGTTGACATTTTAGCAAGAGAATCTAAAAGTCAAACCATTGTCCCCTTCTGCAGTGGAGTTCATGCTTGATGACATGCAGGGATGGAGAGTAACTCAAGAAAGCAGGACTTCTCCTGAAAAAGGTTGTCCAAAGTGACAGTCTAGGCCATTCTAGCCTAGCGGTTGCTTTTTGTGCTGGTGCCCTTTTCCTGTGCTCATGACTTCATGTCCTTTTGTTCCATTCTCAGGTTGATGGGAATCTAAACATTAAGATCCTTTTCTACAACCCAAGAAAAGGGGCAATTTTCAGGCTTCTGTGTGTGCCTGTGTGTGGGGGGGGGGGTAATGTTCAAAGATCTACTCTTGTATATGTTCAAGATTAAATTTCAAAAATAGCAGTGTACTTTAACAGGAATTGTTGTGAATACTTTTTGTACTTAACTAAAAAAAACCCACCAGAGAGGCTTAGGTGATCTCAAGAAATAATCCCATGCAAAGCTAAACACAGGAGGAGGGTTGGAGTTTCCCTCCTATCTTACATCCCTGTACAAGATGCTACTTGCTCTGAGCAAAGTCCTCACGCTCAAGCTTTTTTTGGCGATACGAGACATGTCCTTTGAGAACTGCAGAAAGCAGAACAGAAATGTCAGAAGTTCCTTCATCAATTAGGGTCTGCATGCCTCCAGAAATTTAAGGAACATTTCTACCTAGCAAAACTGATGACAGACACACAGTGTCAGCTCCAAATGGGGTAGGTGGGGCTCAGGGGAGATGCCCTCAAAGGGATTCCCCCCTGAGTGGCCCTTCTCCTCTTGCAATTGCCACCCATGACTATTTGCTTGGCCTGGGGTCTCTTTGCACTTAGAACCCATCATGCAGAGGGAAAGTAAGGTAAGCAGAAGGTGCTGCTCCTCGTTCCCTGCTTATCTTGCAGGTGAACAGGCAGCAACAGCAAAGAGAAGGAAAAGTAAGACCAAGAGACCTCAGGGATTGGGACTGGCTCCCTGCAGGGGTGCAGGTCTTGGCAGACAGTCAATGATGCTGACCCCTGATGCTAGCCCTGCAACACACAGAAGAAAGTGTTTCCCTTCCCAGGAGAGGGGCTTGTATGTACACCCCTTAGGGCAAGCCAGGAGCCTATCTCTCAGAGCCTTCCAGTATTTCCTTGTTCATGCTTTATGGCTTACCACATCCTACCAATGATGTGTCTAAGTCCGAGTGAAATCCCAAGTCTTTACTTTCAAGTCCAAGTCAAGTCTCAGTTCATTGCAAGAAATATTAAAGTCAAATCTCAAGTCTCAGGAGCCAACTTTAACAGAAAAAAGGTGCTCGTGGTGGGGTGTGGGTACGAGAGTTTTAACCCCCTCCCCACGTTCTCATCTGCACTTCTATCAGTGATGCATTGACATCCTTTACTTGAACCATGATTTATTTAACCAAAACTGTGCTGTTATTCAAATTTATAAAGATTGCATTTTAGAAAAACTATTTTCTCAACAAAGCAGAGGCAGCAGGCTGGAGAATGCTGTTGCACTTCCTGCCAAAGAGAGCAAAGTGTGCCAAACAGAGCTGAAGCCTTCCTCCTATACAGCAATCCTCCCCTGCCTGCCCCAGGATATTCTGCTTCAGTCAGATGCAGGCGGTAAGCCCTAGAGTGACTCTATCATAAAAACAGTAGCTATCTCAACTCCAGTTGAGTCACTCACTCATTGTCATGAGTTGAGTCCAAGCTGGGTCACTGACATGACTTGTGTCAGGCTTGGGAGTGAGTCGCTCAACGAGTCCCCAGCTCCGCATCCTTGTAGTGCCTCTTTTGCCCCTTGTTCCAAACAAGAGATATTTTCCTGACATCCCAGATTATGGTAAGCCTGGACAGCCCCCATGCACCTTTAATAGTTGCATGACAAGCTATTCCAGCTGAAATTGCCTCCTCCACACAGCAATTAAAGGTACAAGTGCCCCCTGCTATTTTGCAATTGGCCACCCTCTCTCCCAAACTCCTCTCCATGAGTCCTGTTCCACACAGTTTAATGGGTGGTGATGGTGGCTGCAGCTGCTGCTGACCCACCCATTCCTGGGCTCCTTGACAGCCCTCACTTTGTTGATCACTTGCTACTTATTTGATTCTCCCTTGTCTCCATTTATCCTTCATAATTCACTCATTATCTTCTGGACAGGGAAAACATGGTTTAGTTGCAAAGTCATGCCTGACCCATCTTGACCCCATGGACAACATTCCTCCAGGCCTTCCTGTCCTCCACCATCCCCTGGAGTCCACTTAAGCTCACACCAACTGCCCCAGTGACTCCATGCAGCCACCTCATCCTCTGCCTTCCCCTTCTTCTTTTGCCATCTATTGTTCCCAGCATTAGGCTCTTCTCCAGGGAGTCCTTCCTTCTCATTAGGTGGCCAAAGTATTTGAGTTTCATCCTCAGCATCTGGCCTTCTAAAAAGCAGTCAGGGTTGATCTCCTAGGCAAAACTGGCTGGTAACTTAATGCATCCCCTCAAGGGGACTTCCTTGAAGGCAGCCCAGGAGATCACACACCACTTCCCTTCCCTGACTGGGAAAGGCAAGGGAACACAGAAGCCTACTCTGCGTGCGAGCAGGGGAGGGAAAGAGAGAGAGAGAGAATGGAGATCTATGTGGTCTACATATGTCAGCCTGTGCATGAGAGAGTGAATGGGATGAGCACGTGTGCACGCACATGCGTGTGTGTAAATGAAAGAGTGTTGGCTGTGGACAAACATTTTGGAGGCATATTCTGGCAATGGCCCTGCCTACTTTGGCCAGTATCTCCCC